CCTCAGAACCAGACAAGCTCCCTTCTCAAAGGAGAGGCGAATACGAGGGAATAAAGTTAAGACACAGAAGGCGAAAGGCGAGGGTGACTCGTGTGTTACAGCCTCACCTTCTGTGAACCCACAAAAGCATAGGAGCCACAGGACACATAAGTGAGTAGAGCTCCTTCATGGGTCTCCCAGTGTATGCTAAATCTGTGTGGAGAGAAGACCATGGACTGCGTGGATGCCCCACCACAGGCTTCCTTGCAGAGGTCAGAGATGGGAGCCTCCCCCACCAGGCCCTTGCTGTCAGAGTCACACCTGCAAAGTGTGTTCCAAGATGCCAAGAACCGGCAAGGGAAGGTGAGGGCCTAGAAAGAGAAGGCGCGGCTGGTCCAGAAAAGCCTAAATTCTGGGAAAAGCATGGCCACGGGCAGAGGGAGGCCTGGAGAATTCTAGCACATTCCCAGCGGCTCATGGAGGGTGAGATCAACCAGATCCCTTCTGCAGGTCTGCAAGGAGCATGTGACCACAGAGCTAAACTTAACACTCACCTCCAAACAAGTTCTCGGGATAGACCATGGGGACAGTTTCCACCAGCTGTTCAAAGTATGGTTGACAGTTAAGAGGAGACGGCCACTAGTTTTCACTACAAGGGAAGTTCACAGCTCAGGGGTCAATCACCTTGGGATAACCCACACCTGGGTTCAGAGACCAACCCAAATATCACAATGCAAGGTCCACAGTAGCAGTTGGAAAGGAAAAGATCCTTTAAAATGGCCAATGAGCTAAGAGCAGGAGACGCGGGCTTGCCAGGACCGCCAGAGTAGAGAAACAGCAAAATGTTATGCTACCACTATGGTAAAGTGAGGCCATATAGGGACTGCAAAGACATGGGGGGCAATGTATGAGAAGTCTGCGGTGATGTCATAGCATGCTGTACCCAAGACCTTTACAATCTTAATGGCAACAAGATTCTTACACAAAATTCTTCACAAAGACAGTAAAACAGTATATGAGCCTTCTTCCAAACCATTAGAAAAGGAAGAGAGCCAGGCAGAATGGAGCACACTTGGGATCCCAGCCCTTGGGAGGCTGAGGCAGGAGGGCTGCCATTGGTTCAGGGTCTGGACTACATAGTGAGCTCAAGGTCAAGTTGGACTATACCTTGTCTCAGAGACCTGGAGGGAAGGAAGGAGCAGAGGGAGAGGAAGGGAAGGGGAGGAGATGGAGGAGGGTGGGGACACTGAAATGACATGAGTGCTAAGGCTTCCCATCAGCCGGGAGGAGGGTGACCCAGACCAGGACCCAGAGACTGCGAAGAAACACAAGAGCCAAGAAGGGGAAGTGAGGGGGCCAGAGAAGCAACAGCAGAGATGTGGCTGACCCAGGCTAAGGAGGCAAGGAAGGACCTTCTTCACGAATAAGAGTTTAAAATGACCCTCACCTTCTGCTTGGGATAGGCACTTGAGGTGTTAATGAACCACAAGATAAACTTACTTAATCCACCCTGGGTAGTAATTCGAGAACTCTGAGTCATTAGTTCCACATGGAAAGGTGGGAGGAATACAAAACTAGTTTGGAGAGGACAGATGGAAAGGGAAATTTCCCCCTTTAGACAGCTTTGGAAAAACCACAAGAAGAACTGTGGATGGTCTGTTTGAGTCCTGGCACCTGCGAGGGCATCGGACTCAGTAAATAGTAGTATTGCTAACTGTGAGGTCTCTGCTGTGGGCTGAACTGCTGACATCCTCCTCCAGGAGCCTGACTGGACCTTGTAGATGCAGATGTGGTCAAGTAAAGGCGAGAGGTCATGCTGTGGGTGAAGCCCTTAACCCGGCAGGGTGTCTTAGAGAGGAAGAGAACACGTGGAGACAGGTGTGGAGGCCAGGAGGAGGCAGATCAATGCCACCACACATCTGGGGCTTTCCAGGCTAAGGAGGCAGAGAAGGCTCTTCTTCTCCCTTCCCTTCCTGGACAGCCTTCAGCCTGACCAACACCTTGACTCCAGACTTAGAGCTGTGAGGAGAAAGACTAGTGCTTCAAGCCACCCAGCTTGTGGTTCTTTCACCCTAAGAGAATCTCCAAAGTGAGGAGAAATGAAGACTGACGACCCGGGATCCCACTAAGGAACAGTAATACTAACAGCAGCGAAGCAATAGATGAAGGCACGTCCACGGAGGGCAGAGACATGAACAACTCATCACCTATGGTTCCCAGAAGTCTCGCACACAGTGTTGTAAATGTCTACCCAGGGAGAACTGCTCACAGATAAACGAAGCGATGGACGGTCTCCAGATGACTGTGCTTTAAATGGTACAACTCACATGAATTTGCCACACAAACAGGGCACAGGGAGCGTTTCAAATACGTCCCCAAAAGGAGGGGCTGCTGACATGCAAAACACACAGAAGTTCTTTTAGATCCACCCAAATAAAGTCTTATTTAGATACATTAAAAAATGAAATGTGGGGCTGGAGAGATGGCTCAGTGGTTAGGAAGAACTGGTTGTTCTTACAGAAGACCCGGGTTTGAATCCCAGCACCCACATGGCAGCTAACAACTGTCCATAACTCCAGTTCCAGGGGATCCGACAGCTTCTTCTGACCTCTGTGGGCATTGCATGACACGGGCACACTTATGTACACACAGGCAATACACGCATACACATAAAATAAAAATAATAAATTTAAAAAATTTTAAAAAATGAAATGTGAACATTTTATTGGGACATTGGTGGATATATTTTAATTTTATAGCTTCTAGCTTGAAAGGCCTTTTCTCTTCAAAGAGATTTATTTGCTAAGCTGTACATGGTAAGACTGACGACCCGGGATCCCACTAAGGAACAGTAATACTAACAGCAGCGAAGTAATAGATGAAGGCACGTCCACGGAGGGCAGAGATGTGAACAACTCATCACCTACGGTTCCCAGAAGTCTCGCACACAGTGTCGTAAATGTCTACCCAGGGAGAACTGCTCACAGATAAACGAAGTGATGGACAATGAGTTCAAGGCCAGCCTGGGTAACTTTGTGAGATGTGAGACCCTGACTCAAAAACAGAACGTAAAAAGAGGGCTGGGGATACAGCTCAATGGGACAGTGATGTACAAGGCCCTGGGGTCAGTCTCTAGTATTGTAGCACTGTGTATGTATGGAGGCATGCATGCATGTCTGTGTTTGTATACATATTTGGGTTGTCTATCTATATATATATATGATATATATTTGGGGTATGTGTGCTATTTGGAGTGCGTGGATATATCTATTTGGGTTGTGTGTATAAGTATGTATGTGTGATATAGGGTATATGTATAAGTATGTTATATGTATATATATTTGAATTTTGTGTATACGTATGTGCGTGCGCACACACGCACACACACACACACACACACACACACAGACCCCCATTGAGATCTATTTACCTACCAAAGCATTCTACTTCTTAGATGAAACTGAA